TGAATTGAATTGAATTGAAAAGAAAAAAAAACTAAAATACATTATTTGTCCCGAAATGAGATTTGTTGTCCAAGTAACATAAGTATACTTGCAAAGCAATGCAACCTGGTGAGTCAGTTTGACCACTCCAGTACAAGTTTTACTAAAGAGAGAAACAACATACTCCTCCAGTTGTCAGCGTACCTGGAGTCTCTGCATGGCCTCCTCTCTCTCCTTCTCTAGCTCACCCACATCTGGTTTCTTGCTCTGGAGATTGTGAATTTCCTGAAAACAGAGTGATTTCAACCCTTCACACACAACCTTCCCACACATCCACCCATCCCTGTTTATCAGAACATGGAACATTCATCTCTCAATTTGCACAAAAATATTTCATGTGGTTCTAAAAGAAGCTGAGTCATTTATCATAAACCAGCTTGGCAATAAGATTTGGGACACGCTGATGTTTCCTCCTCGGAAACATCAGCCCCTAGGGGAAACATACCACTGCGACCTTGCCACGAATTCTGTTGCCAAAAAAGGAACTCGTTTAGATGACTGGACAGACAATGCTATATTAAAAACCAGCAAGCTGTTTTCAAGGATATTTCACTGTAATATCCATTTTATTTACCCAGGGAAAATGTTTTTTGGCTGAGCATGCCCAGGCATTTGATTTGATATTGCTCATACAGGCACAAAATATTCACAAGGTGATGTTTCGGCATCATAAAAAATTATATTAAAGTGAGCTTTGAAACAGTTCTGAAGGTGAGTCAGAAAGTACTGATTTCAATTAACATGTAGGTGGCATCTCTGGACATCTGCTGCATTAATTTTTGTGTATTTTGTGAGCCTGTAGTATTTTATCAAAGCTCTCTTTGTCTGACCAAATCATTGAATCAACATCACAAACTGAAAACTGGCAATATATTACTGTATGTGTGCTGGTGTACTAAAGACTATCCTTCCACACTGAGGGTCCCTTCAGGATAGAAAATGGATTTGGACAGTGCTGTGTAGCGAGTGAACTGGTGTTCTACCTGGTCTTTGGCCTGCAGCTGGGCTTCCAGCTCCTCCAGTGACTGATTCAGCTCCTCTCGACCAGTCTGACCAGCAGTAGGGTGCCCCAGTTGGGCCTCCAGTTCTGCAACCTGGAACACACACACACAGACACACAATTAATACATACTTAATAATAAAACAAATGCATACAGCGCTTTTCACTTTGGCACAGCGGTGCTTTGAGCCAAATGCTACAATGCTGATTGTTATTTAAAATTTTATAATACATTTTTTTTTATTGTGTTAGCATGCTAACATTTGGTAATTACCACTTGACACAAAATACAGCTGAGGCTGATGGGAGTTTTGCAGGTATTTTGTCATAAACCAAAATAGGCCCTACTGAGCAAATTAAAATTTGGACCTGATAATGGTGCTAGAGGAAGGGATCATGAAAAAGTTATTACAATAAGAAGGTTCATGAATATCGGTACCAAATTCCATGGTAATCTGTTAAATAGTACTCAAAACTACAAAAGTCAACCTCATGGTGGCACTAGAGAAAAGATCAGGGGATCACCAAAGTCAGGGGGATTCATTCTCCGGGGGCTCTGCGAGCAATCCAGTGAAGAGCTGCTGAAATATTTCTGCACAAGTGCGATGGACAGTCATTTCTATCCCTAAAGCCATACCACTATAGCGTGGTTAAAAAGAGAGCCCATTACGAGATAACACAATACTTACATAACATTAAAACTACGGGTTTGAATGCTGGAAGGGTTGGGGCTCTCTAATGTAGGTTATTAAGTCCTACCTTGTGACCAAAGGTCTTTTAAATCCCCTCTTAGAACTTTATTTTATAGGAAATCGTTTATGAATATTTAAAAAAAAAAAAAACTTTTTAAACAAAGAAAAGCACAACACACAATACTCCCTAATCCCAGACAGCCATAAAACATAACCTGAAAAGGGATAAATTAATCTAAAATACAGATAAATAATTGAATAAGATAAACTAATGATAATAATAGCAAATGAAGAAAAGGTGGAAAAAATAAAGATTAAAGAAAGATAATAACATAAAAAGAAATTAGTTTATGAATATTTAATATGTTGTTGGGTTTTATCATACTATTACTATGTTTTATATACTATTACTGCCATTCGACATTTCAAACTTTATTTTATCTCCCTGTGTTGTTTTTATCTGTTGTTTTTTTTTCCAGTGAAACATTTTGTAACCTTGTTAAGAAACATGCTGTATAAATACAATTCATTACATTATTATAATATAGGTAATATAGGTGCATTTAAACAAGCAGACAGGGGAGCTCACAGGTCATATTAAACATAGCACAGCAAAAAAATACTAAAATAATATGGGTATCATATAAAGAAATAAAAAATGTTAAGAAATAAGTCTCCTTTGTAAACAACAAAGATTGATCAAAGCCAGCAGCAGACCAGACATGTAGAAATTATAAATTTCAATTTATTTTGTTATTACACTCGAGCACAGGTCCTTTCCTGTTAAATTAATTTTAAATTGAAAAAAAATAAAATACACCACGTCTGTTGGGAAGTCTTTGTCTGATTTAGTTTTATAATCTAACCTAACTAACCTAACTTATTTTAGTCCTTTGTCTGAAGCTGATCAGTCCAGGTTTCATGGGAATATGTAATTAGGTTTTTCCATTTGCTGGTGGACAAGCAGGAGAAACAAGAATCTGAAATGGGTAAACAGAAATCCATTGTAATGAGGGGGGGCGATGCATTGGGTGGTTATCCAATGAATGGGCTTTTAAAAAGTTGTATAAACCTAATGTGTGGTGCAATTTTCTGAATCCAGAGAACCACAGATCACCCTTCACCTCCAGTGAGAATATGGAAAATAGAAGAATTAGCATTAAAAGGTTTTTACATGACAGTAGCAACAATATATACTGTATTCACACACATACAGACACACTCACATACACATAAGCTCGATGCTTACTATATGGTAAACCAGCAGAGGGTCATCGCCTACACATTCCACCTACACACACACACACAC